GACAGTCGTGCGCCGTACGGTACGGTCCGGCCCGTGCGCCAGACGTCTGGAATGTCGCGTACGACGTACGCTTGCAAGTATGCTGCAGACTGTTGAGGGTTCAGCCTCCTGATGAGTCGGTGAAACTCCGACGAAACAGTTTGTTGCAGCCCCTCGTTTGTTGTCCTCTTCTCTTCTCCCTCTCTGCCTACCGTTTACCGTAGGCACCTCTGTTTGACTATATATAGGGTTGTAGATCGTTTCGAGATCTACAATCCCTTTTTTAAGTTTTTTTATATACCTTTAAATATACTTTTAAAAATTCAAATGCTTAAGAAGTAGTAAGAACAAAGAAAAAAAACAAAAAAAGAAGGTGAAATGGGTCCCCCCTTTTTTTTTGTTTCTGTGTGTGTGTGTATGTAGGTTCCCACACACGCGCACACACACACACATAAATAAACTGGGAGGCCTCCCAACAATAATAATGGTGAACATAGTCAAGAAAATGATATAAATTCATATAATTGATCTATTGTCTATCATATTGCTAACTGTTTCATTGTTGGACAACCCCCCTCTCAAGTATATGCTGCATTGCTTGCATAAAGGTCAGGCTCCGGTGATGTTGGATCTACTCATGTAGGCATATTGCTTGCATAAAGATAACCTTTATATTGTGCCTCATGTTGCTAGCTATGGACGCAACACTGTTTCCTCCCTTGCTGGATTGATTTCATCTCAAGCATGATTCATCTTCTACAATAGAGGTAGCGTAGCTGCGATTTTGGATCTACTCATCTGGGTGGAACAGGGGATGTTGTGGTGAACATTCACAGCACACACACACACACACACACACACACACACACACACACACACACACACACACACACACACACACACACATGGTACTGGGGGGGGGGGGGGTGTGTTTGGGGGGGGGGAAGGGGTGTTTTTTTTGGGGTTTCAGTTTAATCATGCAGGGGTGCTGGGCCACGTACCCGAAACCCTGCAGACTCGATCCGTTGAAAAAAAAAAAATGGCGGGAGCCCTCCCATTTTTTATTCAACGGGAATTTAACGGGGATAGGGAGAATTAAACGGCTTTTAACGGCAGTTTAACTCCACCCCCCCGCTGGTAAAACGACACTCAGCCCCAATAGAACCCCCAGTCATTATAGGTGTATTTGGTGCAACTTGCAGTCCACACACGGCAATAATTACTGGGTGTTCTATTTGAGTGAAGACGGTAGCTAAAAAAGCTGTCCCCCCCCGTATGAGGCGCAGACGACATTTCTTAAAAAAAAAAAAAAGGAAAAAAAAGGATGTACTTTTGTGTGATCCTGCTGTGTACTGAAGAGGTCGTTAGCTCACTCAATTACGACTATATGGTCGCAACGTACCCTTTCCTCCTTATGTGGGAGCGCAGTCAGCGTTGCCACACTCTGCTACTCTGTTTACATAATGGGACAGTGACTCTTGCTGTGACCAACAGGTATCACTCCCCAACCGCCCTCCCACACCCAACCACCCTCCCACATCAGACCTGAAGCTGCCGTGTGCTGCAGGTTGCAAGCCAAGGTTGCAGTCCTGTGATAAAAGAGAAGAAGCGTCTGGGAAATACAACTGAATCAAACATGCCGCACACGGGAGTCTCCCATCTCTTTTCGTCTGGTTTGTTTCTGAATGATCAAAAGATTCAAAACTGTAAAAGCAGTGTTTTAGTTTGTTTTATTTTTTTTAAACAAAGAAAAAACACACTAAATAGTAAATACTAAATAGTAAAAAAAAGAAGAACAGCAACAGCTGTTATTTTAGCACTGTTAGATCAGCCCGCTGACACACACAAGTTGTAGCTAGGGGAGAAAAGAAAAAAGAAAAACGAAGCGGCGGGCTTCCTGATGGTGTGAAGGTGGAGTATAGACATTGTCTGCTAACTCTTCCTTGTGTCATTATGGTTGCTGTCATGGTGTGTTCGGCTTGATGTGGTCTATCTGTCTCATGTTGCCTCGCTTTTTACTCATCGCGGAATGTGCTCTTGTCGTGCTGGCGCGGAACACATTATCATCTTCATCATCTTTGCCGGCATCATCGTCATCATCAATGCCGCCATCATCGTCATCGTCATCGTCATCATCGTCATCGTCATGCTCATCGTCATCGGCGTCATCGGCATTGGCATCGGCATCAACATCATCAAGTTACGTGGCACCAGAATGCGCTATGACCGGTCACATTCTTGTCCAGAGTGACGTGTACAGCTATGGAGTCGTGCTTCTAGAACTTCTCTCAGGACGCAAACCGGTTGACCTTACTCAACCAGAAGGCCAAGAGAACCTCGTAACCTGGGTAAGTAATTTGACATTTTTTTTTTTTTTAACTTTTTTTTTTAGTCGATCGACTTTCTTCTCTCTTTTGTTAACCACCACTACCTCTGAGCTGTGGACCCCAAGCTTTGCCGCAGCGCCGGCGTGACTGTGTTTTTTTTTCCTTGTTTCGGTTGGTGCTGCCAACCATTTTGGTCTCTTTTGAAGGTTATGTATGCGTTTGGAGTTTGCCTGTGAAAGATAGTGGCAGTTGAAGAAATAATAACGGAGATAAACAAATGAGTCGGTGAAACTCCGACGAAACAGTTTGTCACAGCCCTTCGTTTGTTGTCCTCTTCTCCCTCTCTGCCTACGGTTGACCGTAGGCAGTTCCGTTTGAACTGTGAAGATATATATGCTCTTCCGTTTGAACTGTGAAGATATATATGCTCTTGTCTGTATTCTGTTCTGGGAGCAACCATCCCGCCGTTCCCTTCACTCGCAGCACATCGAAGAAGAAACACTTCTAGCACCGTTGAACCGGTCTCGAAGGGTACTCCAGCAGCCTCCCCGGCGGCTGACATTTGGTTCATTAAATAAAAAGTACAAAAGGGAACCGGGAGAACCCAGTGTGACCAGAAATCTACCTCAAAATTTGGGAATATAGGTTATCGGGTCCTACTGTGAGTATGGCCTTAGTTGTGGTGGCTTAATATGGTGGGAAAGGTGTCCACACCCCGCTTCCTCTTTAGACCGTCTCTCAAATTCACCTTTTTCACTACCTACCTACCACTACTCCTAAGGCTGTACAGGGGGGGGGTAAAAAACGCAAAAAAAAAAAAAAAAAAAAAAAAAAAAAAAAATTATATAAAACAAAATGAAACAAAAAAAAAAAAAAAAAAAAAAAAACCAACAACATGGATTTGGTCATGTGTCAAGATTTCGGCTCTTGACCTTGAGGGTCTGCTGCCCAAGTTGGGGTTCTGGATGTGTATCACTGTTGAGCCACCACGTCTACATCTTCTTTTTTTCTAATTAAAAAGTTTTAAACAGAACCTTGAGGTTCTGCCTCCATATCCATTCTGGCAAGTGTCAGTCTGGTTCTTTTTTTTTTTTTTTTTTTTTTTTTTCCAAAACTGAGCTGTATTCTTCACTCATATGCCTCCCACTACCTATCCTGTTATGCAAGTCCAGTTTCCTAATGGTTGCAGTTATGGGTTAGTTCTCCCTAGTGAATCCCAGCCTTCTTATTCTGCTCAACTCTGCACCATGCAGGGAGCAGTACCCCGGTTCCTAACACCTGGCATGAGCTGAAAAAAAGCATACTCTCTGTGCTTCCACAACCAGCCAGAATGCCCAAACCAATTATCTCCAGTGGTGAGCCCAGAGCGTATCACAGGGGGCCGTGGGGGATCGAATGGAGAATGGACAACGTGGGGAATCGAACCCACGACCTCCTGAATACCACTTACGTCTGCCCTCTTGGGCTGTCAGTTGTGTTCCTTTTTTTTTTTCTTTTTTTTTTTGAAACAGCTCAGGTCGTGTTCCTATTCCACCGGAACGTCACTTTTGTTTTGTTGTTTTGTTTTAACATCAATGGGACAATCACATGTGTACATCTTTGTGATCTCTCTTTCCAATTGTATTTTGTCCTTCATGAAATTGTTTTTGTCCTCTCTCTTGATGGGTGCAGGATGGGTCAAGAGTGTGAACTCTTGACGTTGTGGGTCCGCCTGAGCTGGGGTTGTGGATGTGCAATGCATGGAGCCACGACACGTACATTCCGTGTGATTTCTTGCCAATTTTAGTACTTTGTTATTTACAAAATTGTTATTGTTATGGTTATGGTTATTGTTATTGGTCTCTCTCGATGGGTGCAGGCTCGGCCTCTGATAATTAAAGGTGGGCTAGATGAACTGATTGACCCCAAACTGAAGGGTGAGTTTTTGACAGAGCACGTCAAACACGTGGCATCGATTGCATACATATGTGTTGATCCGGAGTCGTCCAATCGGCCATCTATGGGAGAGGTGGTCCAGTCTCTGAAGCTCGTCTGCCCCGAGACTGACCCGCCTCCAGACAGAGACTACTATGTCAAAATGGAAAGGAAGCATCCTATTCTGTCCTCGGGACTTCTCATCGACTTCGACCATATCCAAACACCCCCACGGATGCCGAGGCGGCGGGCCATTCAAGAGCCAGGAGACGCCGACGGTGTTGGCATGGGGATGCGCCAAAACAACTTAAGTGTTGATCTGTCTTCTCGGGAGCGACGACCCAGTTCGTTGGATGAGGCTTATGACGATTACGGCATCATACGTGACCCACACGCAGGGCCTCGCCAACTTGAGTCGGGTGAGAGCACGGTCACGGCGGACTTCTTTGATGACTCTAGTGAAGCAGGCGAAAGCCGAAGAGAGGGCGTGAGCGAAACACCGGCTGCGGACAAGGTTAGGTTTATGTCGATGCCGTTTGTAGCTGGACGGCGAAATGCGGGCCTGGCAGGACAGCAGAGTCATACAAGGAGAAGCAGAGGCGAAGATGGTCGTATAAATGGTATGGTGGACACAGATGCTGGACGGGCAAGGACAGTGAATGTGTTTGGAGCTAGGAACGGCGCTTTGTCGACCCGCAGTGGTCCGGTCGGCAAGTGTGGCCTTCACCTCAACGATCCAGTTGTGGGTTGCGGGAAGGAGGCAGGATCGTTCGATTACGATACAAGCGATGATTTTGGGTCCCAATCTTGGAGGAAAAGATCGCAAGACGCGAGGATGCGTCACGAGGGCTCCAGAGAAAGACACACTGGGCAGGAGGTATGTTGACGTAACGGGAAGGCAAGTGAGGCTGGGTTGTTCAAATGCAAACCACCACTCCCTGTCCCAACTTCCATGGTTAGACCGTGGCTAGACCGTGGTTCGACCGTCGTTCAACCGTGGTTCAACCGTGGTTCAACCGTGGTTCAACCGTGGTTAAACCGCGGTTAAACCGTGGTTCAACCGTGGTTAACCGCCGTGGTTAAACCGTGGTATGTTGACATAGCGGAAAGGCAAGAATGCAAACCACCACTCCCTTTTACAACTGTTGTGGTTAGACCATGGTAAGACCGTGGTTCGCCTGTGGTTAGATCGTGGTTTGACCGTGGTTAGATTGTGGTTAGACCGTGGTTAGACCGTGGTTAGACCATGGTAAGACCGTGGTCAGACCGTGGTTAGAGTGCGGTTAGAACGTGGTTAGATTGTGGTTCGGCCGTGGTTAGATCGCGGTTAGGGTTCATTAGATCGTGGTTAGGCCATGGTTAGACCGTGGTTAGACCGTGGTATGTCTTCAGAGCGGAAAGGCCTGTCAGGCTCGGGTGTTCAGTGCAAACCATCACTCCCTTTTACAACTGTTGCAGAGAGACACGCGGTCTAACCACGGTCTAACGACACCAGCCTCACTTGCCTTCCTGTTACGTCAACATACCATGGTCTAACCACGGTCTAACGACAGTCTAACCACGGTCTAAGCACGGTCTAACCGCGGCCGTCGTAAAAGGGAGTGGTGGTTTGCTATTGATCGCCGCAGCCTCCCCACTTGAACGGCCGTGGCTGCCAAGAGAAACAAGGATGCGGCATGGATGACGATTCTGCAGAACGACCCGCCGTAAAAACGTCCACTACCTTTTGCAGGTTGACATAACAGGACGGTAAGTGAAGGCTGGGGTGTAAAAACGTCGAGTACTTTTTTTACAGCGGCAGCCCTGTGTTACCAAGATGCTTGCCGTCTTTCAGTTGGTCCGTCGGATTGAGATGATCCAACGGCAACAGGAATTGTTGGCACAGCTTTTCAGGATGTAGTGGTGGTTCATTATGTGTGATGTCTCTGTTTTTTTCTTTTTTTTTATAAAAAAAATTGCTTATGTCTCTTTACAAGTGACGATGTCAGGCAATATCGCGATGATTCCACATCAGAGGATGTCATGATGATTCCACATCAGAGAATGGTGGCGGAGAGAAAGGCAACGCCCACACCTGGCCGGTAGCCAAAGGAGACGAACAAGTCGCAGCTGATTGAAAGGTCACGTGTTCAAGCTTCAACGCCTGCTGGACGCCAATAAGAGAACAATAACCTCGACCTCGAGGGTATGGTCGGTCCCCTTTAAAGGAGAAGGATGTCGGCAGCAAGGAAAAGCAATAGCAACCGAGAATAGGAAGCAAGAAAATCGAGGGGAACTTGGAGAATGAATGTCCCTCACCCATGTTGCTGCATAGTACTATTCGGGGTAACTATTGTGAATTGGACTCAGATGGGTACTATAATGTTAGGGGCTAGCTATCCCCCTATAAAGACAAAGGAAAAAGAGAGACAGGATGCAGCATGTCGACTCGATTGGCAGGCTACTATGCACGCAGGAAGGGAACAGCATGGCACGCACTACCGCCGTGACCCGACCAGAATGTCCCGGCCATTACAGCTGTATTTGTCATAACTTCCAGTCTATATGCAGCCGATCGTGACCAGGCGTTCTACTTCAGGTGAAGACGGTAATCATGTGGCGGCAAGTCCAGAAAGATGGGATGAAGGAGTGAGAGAAGAAGTGTCCCGGAATGTTCTTGGAAATTGCAGGGAGACTGGATGCAGAAACAGAAACACCCAGTCATTATAGCTGTATTTGGGGCAACTTTCGGTCTAAATGCAGCGATCATGACCAGCCGTTCTACTTCAGGTGAAGATGGTAATCATGTGGCGGCAAGTCCGGGAAGATGATGGGATGGAGGAGTGAGAAAGCTACCTATCCGAGTTCCTTCTCCGACACTGCAAGAAGAATGGACCGAGGAACTGGAAGTAGGATGCCGACTCGACCGGCAGGTCTGTTTTGTGCTTAGGAGGACATGAACAACACAGGCATTAGAATCGGTCATGGGCTCTTTGTCCAGAGGGGATGCCGACTCGACCGGCAGGTCCCATTCTTAGGAAGGAAGCAATGGGGGCAACTTGAAAAGGCGTCGGAATCGGTGATAGGATTTTCTCTTGTCCAGAGGGGAGAACCTGAAGAGGCAGTCGACCTGGTCGCGGAATCGTCTTCTTCGTTGATCGTAAGATCGTCTTCTTCGTTGATCGTAAGATCGTCTTCTTCGTTGATCGGAAGATTGCCACTGGTCATGGGATTGTCTTCATTTGATTCAATTCGTAAGAGTGCGAGTCTTTTTTCGCATTCTTACTTAGGAATGAAGCTAAGGTGAAAACCTGAAGAGGCAGAAGAAGCGGTGATCGGATATTCTGTTCTGTGATAAGCAGGGAAGGAAAGGTAGGAACTGGCGAGGCACCCGAATTCGTGAGCAATGACCCCAACCAACCCCTATAAAGGGAGGAAGGAAACTGGGGGTGGGGGGAGGGTAGCATGCCTTCGCATACATGCCAGTCTGCCAATCCTGATGACCAAGTGTGTATGGTCCTGCGTTTTCTGAAGGAGGAATCCGCCTGAAAGAAGAAGGTGCTTGCGGAATCGGCGTAGGGAAGAGAAGGGGGCACAACGAGGGGAGGGTGGCGGGAGGGTAGCACGCCTTCACAGACATGCCAGTCCGCCAATCCTCATGACCAAGTGTGTATGGTCCTGCGTTTTCTGAAGGGGGAATCTGCCTGAAAGAAGAAGGTGCTTGCAGAATCGGCGGAGGGAAGAGAAGGGGGCACAACGAGGGGAGGGTTGGGAACGGAGAGAGGGCGGGGGGTCCTTGCATAGCTTCACGTACCGGTCTGCCAGGCCTCACGACCCAGTGTGCATGCTCCTGTCCTTTCTGAAGACGGTATAACCTCCAAGGAAGGATGTGGTTGCAGACTCAAAGGGGTCAAACGGAAGGGGGCACAGCGGGGGGGTTGGAGAGGAGGGGGAACCAGGAGGCAAGAGTTCCGCTGGCTGTCAATTCTCATTGCTGCAGAATGGGGGTAACTACTAAAGAGAGAGAGGGAGGGGGGGGAGAGGAGCGCGGAGGGGGCGCGGGTGGGTGAGAAGCGGGGGGGAAGTGGGGATCGTTGCCTGTCTTCACGTACCTCTCTGCCAATCTTTGTGACCGAGTGTTCGGGGTCCTGCGACTCCTGCCCTTTCTGAAGATGTGATAACCTCGAAGGAGGGAGGTGGTCGCAGAGGCGAAAGGGCAAACAGAAGGGGGGCACAGCAGGGGGGTGGGGAGGCGGCGGAAGCAGGATGCAAAGAGTTTCCCTGGCTGTCCATTCTCATTTCTGCAGAATAGGGATAACTGTAGGAGAAAGACGATTGCCGCGCACGCCAAAGGGTCAAGGGCATGTGGATGCATCCTAGCTGTCCATGCTCGATGCCAGTGCATCGTCGCTGCTGATCCTCGTTGCGCGATGTCCAAGGGAGGTCTGTAATGCATCCTTGTTCTCAATCCTCATGGCCATGCCAAGGGCGGTATGTAGATGCACGCCAGCCGCCAAAGCTCTTTGAGGCACCGAAGGTATGTCTGTAATTACTAATTACTAATTAGTTATTACATCCTAGCGGTCCCCGCGGCGTGCGATCAAGCAGGCGTGTCGACGGATAATACTAGCTGTTGATTGCTCAACAGGCGCGTCGAGGCTTCGAGGCTTCCTAGCTGTGTCAATCCTATCCTCGTTGCACTTGCAATGCATCTGCCCTTTTCAAAAGGGCATTTGACCCTTATAGCATTACAGCTTAGCTGAAAGGAAAACGTGCAAGCAGCAGCAGAATGCCCCAAAACAGCAAGCAGGGGAGGGGGTGTGTATGCCCTTGTTTGTTTGTTTTTTCGCCCCCTGTGCGGCTTGAACCTACGACAACAAGGTTATGAGGGTGTGTATGTGCTTCTGTCTATCCCAGGCTGTCGAAGCGAGAGGAGGAGTTGCTGTGTCGATGGGAGGATAGTGAAGTGGGGGCAAGCGTCTGCAGGCGCCGTGTGTTTTCCGTTCGTCTTCTTTCACTCACAGTTCCTCCGGCGGGCTACGCACACTAGGACTTTTTTTTATGTATTTCGGGACGGAGTTGCGACCAGATGCATCCAGCCGAGGCTGTAAATGCGGTCAGATACATTTAAGATAGTGCTAGTGTGAGCACGCTCTCAGTTGGTACATGTCCGTGAACTGTTGAGATTACAGACCCAAGTTCGAATCCAGATGCACCCAGATGAACAGAATCAAATGATTCTGAATTACCTGGGGCCAGTCAGTTCATACCTCAAGGCTGTTGCCTTTCTGAAAACAAAGAAAAAAAGAAAAAAAGATATCCTCCTTTCATTCACATGTGCACCGCCACTCTCCTAGTCTCCACATGTTCTCTCCTTGCCTGTTCTTCCCTCCCCCCCCGCCTCCTCTTTCTGTTCTTCTTTTGTCTTTTCTGCTTTTTGTTTTTTAATGTGTTCTTCTTTTATCTGTTCTTCTTTTGTCGTTTTCTTCTTTTGTATGTTCATTTTTTTTTTTCCTTTTTTTTTTCCGCTCTTTCTGGTCTCACCTTGTCTGTTCTCCATGCATACCTGTAAGTAATTTAGTACAACATGGGAAATTTGGGCCCTAAAGGGCCTTTGTATTTGACCGGCCGCCGACCAAAAAAGAGAAGATAACCATGTTTGACAATGATTTTTTAGCCATCTTTCCAGAAATCTTTCTTATAAATGCCACTATCTTATTACTTCTCTATGGATTGATTTTGAGCACTTCAAAAAGATGCATTTCTCTCTCTCTCTCTCTCTCTCTCTCTCTCTCTCTCTCTCTCTCTCTCTCTCACACACACACACACACACACACACACACACACACACACA